GCGTAAAATTTCGGTAAGAATCTTTTTTTTTTTTTTTTTGCATGAACTAGTATCAAATAAGACCTATTGTAAATATGTAAGAAAGAACGTGAAATATAATTATTAAACCAGCTAACAGGACGGAAAACGTAGGCACAAGCTGCCATTTAACAGTGAATGAACCACAGGCTGACACTGGTTCGGTTCACTTCAGTACAAATTGAGCACTCTAACGAGTGAAGTGTTTTTTTTGTTTGTTTGTTTGTTTTTTGCCTTCTAATGTTGGTTTGTACATTTGGAGGAGCTGATCTCCTCGTGCAGCCTGGATCTCAGTCACACTGTATGTTTTCATAACGGTCGCGCAGGATTGAATATTTTTCAATTTAAAACACACACACACACACACACACACACACACACACACACACACACTGTCGCGTGGAGTTAAAACATTTGTGAATCGGACTCATCGACCACGAGCTCACTCGATCAGCGACACGAACCTCACTAAAGCAGAAGATTTTGTCCACTTGGTCAGAAGGTCAGACAAAAAATAGCATCAAGTAGCATAAGACAAAAGATGTCAGTTGACTTCGTCCACTGATGGTAGGCTACTTGTAAATCTACTTTGGAGAAATTGATTTGATAAAAAAAAATCTTATTTCACAACGTTTCACTTTGCATAGACAGGCTACTTTATTATTTTTATTAGTTCACTAATTATCGAAATCTCACTTTTTCAACAGCTATTGACTTTTGTTAGTGATGTCTTAAATGACATTAGCTGCTTATTCTGGTTGCGGTTGGAGGCTGTGAAGTAAAAATAGCCTGCAGTTAATTCAGCCGGTGCCTCAGTCTCTCCCGGTCCGGGTAACTACCGCCACCAACCGGCCGAGACGGGCCACTACTCCCGGGCCTGTGTTCGGTATGGGAGGGACGCCTGGGCCTTAAACTGGGAGGCCTGCTGAGACGCAACAAGTGCTAATTGTGATAAAATAGTCTCGTTTACATTCAAGTAAATGTCTTCAAAATACATTTTTATTTATGCGTTCACTGGTAGCCTAATATGCTTGTGACATAACTTAATTTTGAAACGATCATCGTCAGCTTTTATTTCTTTCCTCCGTAAAACTGCCAAGGCCAACATTATATTATCGAAATTAATATGACCCAAAAACCTTCGTTTATCCATAGCCTATATAAAATTAAATCAAATCAAAATTAGGCCTACATGGATTCAATTGTTGATCAACAAAGTGTGATCCTGTTGGGACTAAAATAACGGTTGGCCTGCTCCCATGCACGGACACAGTTGTTACTACTTAACGCACTCAGAGTGGACGTTATTACCGTCACACATAACTGACTGCGTGTTGGCCGCCGGTGTGTACAGAAACAAGCTGCCAGTTTGGAGGCACGGGGGCTGGACCCGCAGAGGCCCTGACAAGCCCGGCCATCGAAGAGGCAAATTATTTTCTATGAATAACCAGCGTCGGCACCGAAAAGACGCTTCGAGCACTGACGAGCGAATATTAATTCGCTGATATCCGCATCCGAGTCTCGCGTGGTGGATTACTTCAGAGCCGTTAATCGTTCCGAAAAAGGCGCGTGGGTCGGCCCGTTCATTTCTTAAAGAGTTAAATTATAGTACGCGTTCCCGCCGCGAACAAGCAGTTGACGAAATGTGTTAAAATTGTAGTATGAAATGGACTACAACTGTTGACTTAAGGGTGACACGGGATAAAAACCTTTGTCATGTGATTTAATGATAATGTAATGTCGTAGTAATATTAATAATAATTAATGGCATTTAACATTTTGATCCAGTCCCATAGTATCTTTTTTAAACTTAAGAAAAAAGCTAGAAAGAAGTGAAACATTGTGAGGCTGATTATGGAAGTAGGATCACATGAAATCATATCATGAGGGCTCAGTTCACCTCATAAACACAAGACCAGTTCCACTATCCCATCAGATCATGTAATGTAGCCTAACCCAGGAAAAATTCCTTTCAACCAGATGTGGATCACAATTATAGCAGTCAATGTGAAACATTGTTGGAAACGTTTGTCGATCAGATGAGGATACCATCAAGACGCATGACAGGCGTCTAACATCATCAGACCGGCAGCGCCTTCACTGGATGCGCAGAAATAGCCTACGCGTTTTAATGTTCATGACTAAAGTTTAAAGTTGTAATGTATCTGTAATGGTTAGTACATTAGATAAAAGAAATACATCAGTCTGTCCTCTGTTATCAAAAACTCACCATGGGACTCAATAGTGCTCGAATCTGAAGTAAAGTTAAAAAAAAAAATCCAATGACATCTTAGCAGGTTTATCAGAAGGACTGTGGGATTCTGAAATGTGCTCGGAGCTCCAACAAAATCATGTTAAGTCATGTTTCAATCTGAACCCAGAGGTAAAATATTCAGGAGAGTAAGAGAAAAATGTTTCTCATGAGAAAAATAGTCTGTTGACATATGGTATAAAGCAAAACTATGAACTTATTGTCTCATAAAAAATAGCTACAGTGTGGAACATTACGTGAAGTATAGGCAAAAGGAAAAGATCTCTGTGCACAGTGGCACTCAGGAACGTTACCATTAGAGACTGTAAGGTTTAACACTAACCCAGAGAAGGACACATTTTGTTCGTTGTGTAATTTTGGTGAAGTTGAGAATGAGGATACTTTCTTGTTTTACTGTCTTGTGGCTTATATGAAGACATAAGGGTTGTACTTTTGTGTCAAATGACCTCAATTTATGTTGATTTATTTTGGTTGGATGATCATGAAAATTTTCAGTTTTGTTTCATCTTTTTTTGTGGCAGAATTTCTTTTGGGGATAGAAGGCACAGTATTTGACATAGTGGTGGTTGACAAGGAGCAGAAGAGGACAGTTGTGGTAGATGTGTCAATCCCTGCTGACAGTAACATCAGCAAAAAAGAGCATGAAAAGACTGAGAAGTACCAAGGGCTGAAGGACCAACTGGAACACATATGGATACTGTTAATTTATTGTTTTTTTCCCCATTGAAGGATTTTTTTGGGGGAGTTTTTCCTTATCTGCTGCGAGGGTCCTAAGGACAGAGGGATGTCGTATGCTGTAAAGCCCTGTGAGGCAAATTGTGATTTGTGATATTGGGCTTTATAAATAAAATTTATTGATTGATTGAATTGAATTGATATGGAAGGTGATGCCCGAAGTGGTGCCCCTGGGTGCATTGGGGGTTGTGACCCCCAAACTAGGAGAGTGGTTCCAGCAAATTACAGGTACAACATCTGAGGTCTTTGTCCAGAAGAGTTCAGTCCCAGGAACAGCTAAGATACTGTGCATAGCCCTCAAACTCCCAGGCTTCTGGTAGAGGACCCGAGCTATATTTACATACACCTGCAACTCTACCTGAATAGCCATTGTCATATCAAATTCCATTAAGGAATCAGGAGTCAAATTGCACAGTGAGGGTTTTTGTTTCCACAACTTTATGCAAAGACTTCACATGTGTGTGTCCTGATGATTGGCTGTACTTTGAATGGACAGGTGTTACTTGATTGAATGGGTAATGTGCTCATTGTTTGCCTGTCTTTTATCATCAACAGTAAAATGTATTAAGTGTGCCTATGTGGGTTTGATCCTTCATCAGAAGAACATAGAGAATCATCAGTGGTATAAAGTCCAAATGGTTTTAATATTCTCTATTTCTAATCAATTTAAAATGATAGAAATAGACAGAAGTCATGTTGCCCCCCTGTGGCTATTTTCAAACTGTTTACCACTGGGATATGAACATAAAACAATGCTACATCAGGTTGGGACTGCAAAAATGGTCTGTCTGGTTGTCTGGCAAGGTCCACTTACTTGTTTATTTAGGAGCATTTGCCCATATCACAGTGTTCATTATCAGATGAAGTTTGGTCAACTGTTATTTAACTATAAGTGTCCCACTGTACATTATTCAGAGCACTTTTAGGACACATTTGCTCACGAGCATGAGTTCATTCTTGACCTTGGAACAAGTTGTTTAGCTTCAGAGAAATCCTATTTACCTGTAAAATATCTTTGTGCATCTTTTCAGTTCTTAGGGGGGAAAAAAATCAAACAAGGATTATCATTAAAAAAAAGACTACAGGCTCAAAACAATCATCTTGACATATACATAAGAAGAGCAGCACTGATGGTGATAATAATAAAACATTTTATTTGTATAGCACTTTTCTAAATACTCAAAGACACTTTACAAGGAGAGAGAAAGCAACAATGAAAACATGTCATGAATAAAAATAGAAACAACTTTAAAAAGAGAAAAATACAATGTCAGTAGAACTGTGGGTATTTCAATGAACACCAAGTTAGCAAGATACTGTAACAGAACATATTGGAACCGTGATTAAACTATTATTCAAATTGAGGTTTACAAAATTCACTTGGTCTTTTTTGTTTATCTGGGGTTATCTGGTGAATAGTGATTGGCTCCTTATTGAAACACCCTGCAGGTAGGTGTTAACTAAATCCATCCTGCGAGCAGTGAGACGGAGCCATGACATTTTCTGAAGGAAAAGCAACACTGAAGGGAGTGTGCACATGGGAGAAGTTTGCCTTAAGACTATAAGTTAAACCATGATCTTTTTCTTAAATCTAACCAAGAACAGGCTTTCTGGCAGAAAGCCCTGAAGGCAAACTTCTCCCAATAGCAGGGCGTGCTGGAGCTGTGGTGGGGGTGGAGGTGTCCAGAGCTGCACATGTACTGTACTTTGGCCACTGTAGCTTCCAGCCATGATATGGGCTCAAACCGGCCCAATACTGCTGATAAGTCACTGTTGATCATGTGAGTGAGTAATGATGAGGGGTTGATGTAAGGCAATATTACATCTTCACAGCCAACACAGCTCTTGATAAAGGGTGGGGGTGGGTGGCAGAGACAGTAAGAATTATACAGCACTTTTCTTAAAGTGCTTTAAAGTGAAAGGAACAAAAATGTTACCAGTGAGTTTGGAACAAAAGAGACAGAGACTTGTACTGTTATCTTATAGATTTGATTCCCAGCCAAGAGATTATTGAAACTACAGTAACAACAAGCCACCAGTCAGATGCAAGTTTAGAAAAAAAGTGAGCTTTCAGTTGTGTGTTAAAGAAGGTAACCACTCCAAACTGTCAATGTCTGTGGTGGTGGCTGCTGGTAACATTGAGGTCCTTACCAACAGCAGGGTTCCCGTCTTCTCAACACAGAGAAGCCAAACTGGCGGGTACATGTCAACATGTTGTGCAGAACAACAGTCAGCTGGGCTGCATACGTTGTGTTCCTTGCTGATGATGCTTGGAGTTGAGAGGTGTGGGTACTGTGACATCAGGGACAATGAAAAACGGCTTTCAGAAATAGTCATGACACCTCCTAACACACACTATACACAAACTTCATTCTGGAGCACGTTGAAGGGGTACGTTTTAAAAAAAAAAAAAAAAAAAAAAAAAAAAAAGACGACGAAGAAGAAGAAAAAGAAAGTATCCCCTTCTCCTTTCAGAGGCCTCATTTCACTAAAAAGTTGGGCCTTATGTTCAAGAACATATCAGACTGAAGGGTGAATTCTGTCACATTTACTTTGACAATGCAGCTTCCTGGCATCCCTCGTTGTTCAAAGTCTGGAACATACTCTTGATAAAAACAGCCTTCTGTTTCATTCAACATATAGATAAAGGGCGGGGCAGAGAGAGACACACTATTTATAATGGGAAGGATAGATATTTTCATAATTAGAGTGGAAGAGGAGGATGGGCAGATAAATTCTTGGTGAGAGGACAGATCAGGGGGCAGACATTTTAACTTATATCCAGTACATGGCATACATCATACATGAGGGTCAAGGCAACACATTTTTTTTAAAACTAACTACTCAGTTATCAATCTCAGCTAGTTCTCAATGGTGCCCATCCCTGTTCCCAAACACAACGTTCCAGAGGAGGGTAAGAGGTTGGAGGGGCGTCCAAAGTCCTCCCTCCTTGATGCTGGGTCCGAAAGGGGTGGGGAGATGAGGAGGGTGTGTGGGGGTGGTGCTGGACGTGACGTGAAGGGGGGGCGGCTGGTTCCCAGGGGTCTCATTGATTGTAGAGAGAGCGCTGCTCCCAGGGCATGGCCTGGATGGTGCGTGGCACTGGGGAAGGCTTGAGCGTGGGTGCTCCATTCGGATGGAGAGAGTGGCCGATGGGGTTGATGGTGGTGAGGGGCCGCTGGGGGGCCAGGGAGAAAGTGTCCTGGTGCTTTGGCTGTAGGGGGAAGTGGGGGAGAGACAAGGGAAAAGAGCCAGAGAGAGCGAGAATCGGAGTGAGACAGAGAGAAGAAAAGCACAGTTTGAGAAAAAGCAGAAGGAAGGGAGAGAAAGGGTGGTGAAAAGAGAATGAAGAAAAGAGTAAAACATCAATGTCAGCCTTACATCACATTAGTAACACTGCATGGCACTGGTGAAGTTCAGATGGATGAGGAGTTTGCAAAATGGCTATATAGGTTGACTATGCAGAAAGCAACAATGAAGCCATAGTTAGAGTTGCGCGCAGACAGTCTAAGTAGAGCTGCACACATCTGAGCAGTATGTTATTTTTATTTTCTGTGCCTCAAATGTTTCACTGAGGGTTTCCCTGGATGTCTGCAGGTTTTCTCATGTAATAAAAATGATAAGGATACAGTAACTGTTATCGAACCGTGTTCCGATATTAAGTGAGGTAGTAAGGTGCTCAGGGTAAATGACGTGTTTAAATGATAAATGGTGTTTTGGTAATTGCTCTTTCCATTCATTATGCAATGTGACCACAACAGAGTGAGATGCAGCAAGAAACATGCAGTGAGATGATCAGACAGGTTTGTGGTGCTACTGTATGGCAGTATCATTGCAGATAGGAAAGATGGCTTAATGAAAGGATGACCAAAGTCGCCCCAGTTGCCAGTACAAGATGTTGTCAATGTACATTTCTGCAAACCACAAATACATTACATCTGCATGTTACATACGAATCATATCAATGTTTCTAAAGTGACCTTCCTCATCAGGAGGTGGAGGGGATGGTGACACCTAGGCTTGGCGCCAAGCTGCAGACCACAGACTACTGTTCAAGACCGGCAAACAACAAAACTGCTTGTGTTTTACCTGTCACTGTTTTTCCCTAGTGTGGTTGTTTTTTACTGAGACACCACTGCCTTATCAGCAGTAATGCCAGAAAAAAATGTGTATTTTAGCCAAACATGATTTTCCTAACCATAACCAAGAAGTTTTTCTGCCTAAACCTACCCACACCTTAACAACAGAATAATTGAAACGCAAAGAAATGCGAAGTTTCAAGTACTAAAAGTAACATACAAATGTAACAAATCCATGATTTGCAGAAACGTACAATGCCAATATTTTCTGTGGTGATTGCGTTGCAAAACAGAATTGTCCTTTGAGATCTGTGTAAGACTCAAATTTCATTTGAACTGGCTAATTTAGGACTGGGTGATAAAACAATTTTGATGGGGCAAGGCTATACAATTTATGTAAGTAACAATGATAAACTTTGGAAATTTTTCCTCAATATAAAGAGATACAACAGCCTATCACACAGCAATAATAAATTAAAAAAAAAAAAACACATGACCACAGCCAGTCTGCTGCCTGTTTGCAGGAAGTTGGGGCTGAGCTCCACACACAGAGTGGACAGCAGCATAACTTCAAAGTAGAGCCCACAGCAGAGAGAATTAAACAGACTCTTGGATATATTTTACTAGGGGCTTTGTGATAAAATATATTGAATAACATCTAAATGTAAACATTCACCTTTGCAAACATGCTTTATCTGCTTGTCTTACAGCATATTTAAGTAATGGTGTAGTTGCTGGGATGGGTCCTTTTCAGGTAAGGGAACTGATAGTCATCCAGATTTCCTAGAACCATAGTAACATCCATAACTCTCAGTTTGTTGCATTTTTCCGTCTGGGTTGGCACTGACTGACAACATGTTTTCCAGACTGTTTTATCAATGCGTCCTCACATTTTAGATTTCCAAACCACTTCACAACTGACGAGGTGTAAGCCATTTTGTCAACAATTTCCGCAGCCCTGGAGGATGACGCAAGTTCACGTCCAGCACTTTAGCACAACAAGCTGTGTCAAACAAACCAAGTGTGGATTAAGAGGAAGCAGAAAGTTACTGTGGACAGAATGGCCAAAATGCCACACTTCTGCATGTGTGTTCAGCTTGTTTAGCATGTGTTACATAGATTGATCATACGGTCAAATATATCCTAGACTCTGTTTCATTCCCTCTGCTGTGGGCTCTTCTCCGAAGTTATGCTGCTGTCCACTCTGTGTGTGGAACTCAGCCCCACCCTCCTGCAAACAGGCAGCAACACAGAGCAGAGGTAAAGAAGAGAGGCACCTGACTGACTGACTGACTGCTGTTGCATTTATTTCTGATGTGTAATAGGCTAGATCATTTCATATCAAGTAAAAAATGTCCAAAGTTTATCATCATTACTGACATATACTTTATTGCAAGCCGTAGGGCAGCAGTGGCTCAGTCCATAGGGATGCCTGTTCGAATCCCCGTCCGGACCAAAATATGGAGCGTGGATTGGTGGCTGGAGAGGTGCCAGTTCACCTCCTGGGCACTGCCGAGGTGCCCTTGAGCAAGGCACCGAACCCCCCAACCGCTTGGGGCACCTCACCAAGGGCAGCCCCTTCACTCTGACATCTCTCCACTTTGTGCATGTATAGGTCCTGTTTGTGCATGTGCGTGTCTTTCGGACCTGTGTGTAATTGACAAGCAAGAGTGAAAACATTGAATTTCCCCTCAGGGGGATTAATAAAGTAAATAAACTGAACTTATCGAGATCATTTCATCGCTCAGCCCTACTTGGGCAGTACACGACTGCTTGTGTAAATCATTTTTCAGTCTCTTATGTGGTAGCTAGACTGTCAGCCAACACCTAAATACTGACAGACCTACAGTTGCAATCAAATTTATTCAACCCCCATTGCATATTAGGCATATTGGCAAAATATACAATTTCTCAGCTGTTTGCAATAAACAAATTACACAAGAACTGTTTAAGTAGTTCAATGAAACTAATATTACAAGGGTTTTGATCGAAATTCAACACAAAATGCTACTTTTAATGACTACTGCAGTCTCAAAATTATTCAACCCCTTCATGACAAGCATCTTCAGTACTTAGTAAAGCACCCTTTTGCTGTTATGACCTGCTGCAAACGTGATGCATAGCCAGACACCAGCTTCAGACAGCGTTCCTGAGGAATCTTAGCCCATTCCTCATGGGCAATGGCCTCCAGTTCAGTAATATTCTTGGGTGTGCGTTTTGCAACCGCCTTCTTCAAATCCCACCAGAGATTTTCTATGGGGTTCAAGTCAGGCGACTGTGACGGCCACTCTAGAATCTTCCATTTCTTCTTCTGAAACCAAGCCTTGGTGGACTTTGAGATATGCCTGGGATCATTGTCCTGTTGGAAGGTCCAGTGACGCCCAAGCTTCAGCTTCCTCACAGACGGCACAACGTTTTTACCTAAGATTTCCTGATACTTGACTGAATCCATCGTGCCCTCCACACGCTGCAGGTTTCCAGTGCCAGAGGCAGCAAAGCCCCAGAGCATCACTGAGCCACCGCCATGCTTCACTATAGGCAGGGTGTTCTTTTCAGCATATGCTTCATTCTTCTTCCTCCAGACATACCGCTGTTCCATAGGCCCGAAAAGTTCCAGTTTTGTTTCATCACTCCACAGAACAGAATTCCAAAACTTCTGTGTCTTATTTATATGGTTTTGAGCATATTGGAGCCGACTTTTCTTGTGCTTTTGGGTCAGTAGTGGTGTACGTCTTGGAGTCCGGGCATGGAGCCCTTCTGTGTTTAGTATGTGCCTTATTGTACAAACTGAAACCTCAGTGCCTGCTGCCACCAAGTCTTGCTGCAGGTGTTTTGCAGTCACTCGAGGGTTTTTGACCACTTGCCTCCTCAGGAATCTGGTGGCAGCCGCTGATAGTTTACTCTTTCTGCCACGTCCAGGTAGTGTAGCCACTGTTCCTTTAACTTTGAACTTGCAAACTATGCTTCTAACTGTATTTCTAGGAACATTCAGAGCTTTTGCTATCGTTTTGTATCCTTTTCCTTGTTTGTGCAATGCAATGATTTATTCTCTGAACTTTTTGGACAACTCTTTTGACTTAGCCATATTTCTAACATGCAATCAAACGTCACTCTCAACAAAACCCTAGCCAGTCCAGGTATTTATGTGTTCTGTCTCAAGCACACCTCAATTAATAAAGCCCTTGATTAGTTGCACCAGGTGTGCTTGAGACAGGGGGTTGAATAATTTTGAGACTGCAGTAGTGATTAAAAGTAGCATTTTGTGTTGAATTTGGATAAAAACCATGGTAATATTAGTTTTATTAAACTATTTCAACTGTTCTTGTTTATTTTTATTGCAAACAGCTGAAAAATTGTACATTTTGCCAATAAGCCTAATATGCAATGGGGGTTGAATAATTTTGATTGCAACTGTACCACTCTTATTAATGTCTATTTATTTGCAAAAAAGACACAGTCCACTGGCTATTTATCATGACAGCCACAAAATTAACACTGACTATAGCTGCTAGAATCTAAAAGTAAGTAGGTTGCTGACAGTATTACCCTGATCTTGAATTTATGGAGACAAGTGGGCACAGGGAGGACGTAGTGAATGGACATTTTACTTGTCCTGTCAATATAATTTATTCCAATTACATAGTAGTAACCCATTTCCATCAGTGCCCAAGAAATATTTTTCCCCCGTTACAGTTTTTTTGGGGGGAGTTTTTCCTTATCCGCTGTGAGGGTCTTAAGGACAGAGGGATGTCGTATGCTGTAAAGCCCTGTGAGGCAAATTGTGATTTGTGATATTGGGCTTTATGAATAAAATTGATTGATTGATTGATATTTGAGATGAAAATAGCAGAGTAAAGCCCTATCTTGCACCTATCTTTACCCTTACTTACTGCTACAAACAGTTACGTGGCCTATCTACAGTCGAGAAGAGGAAGGACATGTGCTGTAAGCAGAGGCTCCCAGTGGACAAAGATAGCATTTAAATATTAGTCCCTCTCTCTTGATGTTAGTAGCCAGACAGGGAGAAGGCAGCTAGCCAGCAGACAGCGGATGTGTGGCGGTTCTCTCTCCTACCATGGGGTTGGCGCTCAGCCTAGTGTATCCCGAGCTCAACTCCTTTACCTCAGGCACCAGGGGCTGGAGCAGGGAGTAGGAGGAGGACGGGGTGGCACTGGAGGAGGAGATGTGTTTGTTGGAGGATGAGCTCCTCATGCTCTGCTGGCTGCTCTGGGAGGACACTGAGCTGGGACGGCCCTGCTGGAACAGACAGATTATCAACCACTCTCTCATAACAACAATACTTCTATTAAAGGTCTGTGTGTAGTATTCAGAGGGATAGATTGGCAGGAATGGAATATAATATTCATAACTATGTTTCCAATAATGTGCAATCAACTGAAGCTGGGAATGCTTTTCGTTTCTTTAGAATGATACACAGCAGATCCTCTTCCACGGAGTCAGCCATGTTGTTTCTACAGTATCCCAGAGAGAACAAACCAAACACTGGCTCTAGATGGGGCCATTTGCGTTTTCGCATTGGCCACCATTGTTCTCTTGGCACTAGGGGTGACCCCGAATAATTGATAATTCGGTGATTCGATTCGGAGAAGTCTGATTCGACTGCCAGTCTCGCCGTCGAATCATCGCAAAATGTGGTTATGAAACAAGACCATAACATTCTGACTATATGGGGGTGCTCACTGCTGCTGAACATCTTGATTTGACATAGTATGTATCTGTTTTCTAGTAATTCATGACATATAGCCTATTTTGATACAAACATCAGCCTAATTTCTGTTAATAAAAAAACTGAAAATGACGCGTGCGTTTAATCAGTAGGCATAATCATTACTACGCATGAATAAATCACCCAGTTGCTCGATCCAAATAAGCGGAGGTGAGTCAGTGCGCTGCAGGACCATCAGAGCAGCATCGAGGCCTACAGTGATTTAAAGTTAAAGTCCCACTGATTGTCACACACCTGAGTGTGTGAAATTTGTTCTCCACATTTGACCCATCCCCTGAGGAAGCAGTGAGCAGCAGTGGTGCCGTGCTCAGGAATCATGTGGTGATGATTTACAGTGGTGGAGCGCATAAACAAACACTTTGGAGCAGTAGCGGCGCCAGGATTTTGATTGTGGGTGGGCCTCCAGAAAACTGGATGGGCCAGTTAAAATAAGCAAAAAACGGGTTCCCCTTTATCTCCGTTTCAGCGCTTTTCTGCGGCATTGAGGACAGCGACGCCGGTGCACCGGTGTGGCTCCCTTGTGTCGCTGTCTTCAGCTCAGTGCTGAAGTTTGGAGGAGGTATGTGCTCTCAAATCAAAATTTTGAAGGATTATTCGTTTACCTGAAGTGTCTTGAAACGAATTTCACCGCTGATTGTTTTCTTGATAGACTCTTATTTTTTATTTGGCTACTTTTTTCCGACGACTGAGAGCGGTGACGCACGGTCCGTGTGGATGAACTTGTATGAACCTGAGCTGATTAATGAAGTAACTTGAAGTCAGAAAGAAGGAAAACTGTTTTACTTTTATTATTATTATCTTATTATGTCAACTGAAGAATTAAATTTGTTTATTTGGGTGTTTGAGCACTTTTCTCTGGAGCGGAAACTGACGCAAATGAGCTCATTAATCAATGAGGGGGAAAACAACATGATTCGATGATTAGTCGGCTCAAGGAAAAATTTGTCATCAGATTCAACTATGAAAATTCTGAGTCGGGGACACCCTCACTTGGCACATGAGGTAAGTTGTAGTCAGTTGTAATCTTCAACCTCACCACCAGATGCCACTAAATACTACACAATAGACCAGGTATACTCAACTCGCTTTGCCCGGGGCCACTTTGCAAATTGACAGAAGGCCAGGGGCCAACCGCAGCAGCCCTGAACAGAGTATGGTGTATGCAGGGGTGTTTTAAGGACTTTGGGGGAATAGCCTGGATCTCTGATGGGTTGTTATGTGGGGTCCTCTCCTGGCATTCTTTTGGTAAACAAGCTCTATTTTTATGCTTTTTGGTAAACTATGGCCTCTTATTTAAAGTAAAGGTACAAAAAATTGCCAGTGTGAACTTAGAAAATGGTTTGTGGGGCCACCTAACACACTATTATGAGCTACATTTGGCCAAGAGTTGAGTATCACTGCACTAGATCTTTCACAATTAATGGTTCGTCAGTGTTTCTCCTCCCCTACCTGGTGGGGGTCAGGCACAGACTGGCTGGTCACGCCACCCTGCCCTCCCTGGGACATGGGGGAGACGCAGTGGGAGGGCAGAGGTTCTTGCTGGCCGTGTCCTCCATGCTGCGGTTGCATCATGGAGTTGGCACTGTTCTGCTGTTGCTGTTGCTGTTGCTGCTGCTGACGGCGAGGAGTGGCGGCAAAATTGGAACGACGACCACCAGACTGTAAAGGAGGAGGGAGGAGAGCAGGGGGTGGACAGAGAAAGACAGAAGGGAAGAGGCATTTTGTAAATTATTTGTCAGAGCAGAGCAGTGGTGACAGATGAATGTGATGAACTTTGTTTTCCACACTTAATCATATGTCTCTTCTTGTGCCATTCACTGTAAATGTCTTAAGTTTCTTTATTTCAGCCATGTCTTACATACTCATTTCCTTTCATTACCCTGTAGATGTATTTATATGAGGAGATGGAGTGGTCAACTTATACACACAAACACATACAGATGCACTCACACAAACATTAATCCTACCAAACCTAGAAATTATAACTATATATAGACTGTCAACTCCAACATTAACATAAATCCAATCAGAGTGAGTCTTCTGTAACCATGACAGTTACAGAAGATGCTTGCCTTGTGCACTTGTCCTCTAACCCTGACATCTATAGTATTTTTGCTGAAATTAGTGTTAAACCTAAACCTAGTCCCAGAATATTTGGAGCTGCAGTAGACCTCTGAACTTTAATTTGGCCTCATCATTCCTCTAACATTCAGCCTGGTTTTTTGTTTCACAACTTAGATTATCTTCTTTCAGACCATTATCCGTAACTGGCACGTTTTAAAGGGAAATTTCAGTTTATTTCAGCCTGTCTCCTATCGTCCTAAATTTGTTTCAAGTGACTAGTGACATAAAAATGACAAAGTGACATAAGAAAAAACAAGCTTTTTTCCACAAAGACCGCCTCATATCGTTAGGACAAATGTCAGAGAACATATAGAAAACGACATGTAAACGTGTTGTCTTACCTTACCAGTGTGCTGCCATGCTTTCCAAAGTGCGGCCGAAATATCGCGAGAACAAGCAGCGATTTCATAGCATGCCTGAACAACCACCAACAGCTGGAAGGATACACTGACGAAGAGCTTCATGAAATTGAAGAACGGAGGAGGAGAGAGAGAGAAAGGCGCAACAGGTAGAAGACGAATGGCTGCTGCAAGGCTGCGTAGCTCTGGAGATTGGTGGAGTAGCTGTGAATGCTGTACCCCAGTGCCCACAGAAGAGGAATGCCTCTGTTGTAAGGAATGGGACCGGTTGCAGCCTTATTTTCAAGGTCTGGATGTAACCGAGGACGAGACACCTCCTCCTGGAGTGACGTTAGCATCCAGCTGGGCTTTATCTAGAGCTGGCGAGATATATTTCGGCCGTGCTTTGGAAAGCAGAGCTAGAGGGATAAACAAACACGACACCACACCGGTAAGGTAAGCCAACACGTTTACATGTCGTTTTCTATATGTTCTCTGACATTTATCCTAATGATATGAGGCGGTCTTTGTGAAAAAAAGCTTGTTTAGTGGACTAACTTTGCACTTGAAGGTATGCCCGTTCTCTTACGTTTTAACAGGTCTGACGCTACTAATGCGCCCCGGCTGTATCTAGGCTAACGGCTAACATGCTAACTATTATTTCTATGTCACTAGTCACTTGAAACAAATTTAGAACGATAGGAGACGGGTTGAAATAAACCGAAATTTCCCTTTAATTTTACAGACCAAAAAATAAATAGGGACTGAGACAAACCCTGTTTACCAGCTGTTTAGAACAGTAACTTGGAAGTGAAAACAAGTTCATCAGCTGCATTTTCACGCACAACTTCAGTTGAAATAAAAAGTGCTTTTAAATGCAGTGGACTATTAAAATACATTTTGGGTGACATTTAAGAGTAGCTCTCAAAAAACAGAAATTTTGTCCCCCCCCCCAAAAAAGAGAAAAAAAAAAGACTACGTCATATTAGCTTCAGCTTAACTATGGGATGTATTTTTTACTGTGATTTTATCCCCCATCACTTATGTTGGAATTGTGGTAGAGGGGACCTATTAAGATCTGCCCTTCAATCTAACCTTTACTTTTCACTTCCAAAATAAGTGGTTTTAATAAACTGATCTGTTCAAACAAAGTGAAGACCTGGGGACTTAAACATGTGTTTACTGGTCAGGGCCAGTATAACTCACTGGTGCAAAATGAGCTGTGGGCCCCTTTTGACGCCCTCCACTTCTCCCATTCTCTGTGCATTTTGTATGTCGTAGTTAGTGATTAGTAGGAATTATTCCAGAAGAAATTTTTATTTGTGCATGGGTTTTAGATGTAACTGTCAGACCTGCTCTGACAGTCGTTAACAGTTTGTCCTTGCTTGAATGTCAAAGTCAAGTTAACACTGCCATCAATGCAGTAACACTGAGACAGCACCAAGGGAAAACATTTGCAGCCAGAATTTGTCATGACAATCATTTCCTGTTCAAAAGCCACATAAAAGCAGTTTGAAGCATGTTGATTTCAGACAGCCTCAATCGAAAGTGTTTTTGCTCCTGATCATCATGTCTAAAACAAGTTGGCCCTTACTCACAGCTATGGTTTCATCTGTTAACTCTGCCTCACACACACACAACACACACGCTCACTCACGCTCACACCAACCTGGTTTTTGGCCGCGGCGCTGCAGCGGTGCTGGGCCAGGTCCAGCATGGTTCTGTAGCTCTTAAAGCAGGACGGGCAGTTGAACCGGTTCTTATGAACCAACCCCCCACACACACACAGACGCACACACAGACACACACACATAAATTTGGATTACTATACTTGTGAGGAAAATCCACTGAATTGTGTTCATTCCCTTACCTCTAAGCCCTGACCTTTTCCCTAAACTTTGCCTAACCCTGGTCTAACCCTGACTCCACAGCACACTTTTCACTTCAGTTGGCTAATACTTTGAACAGAAGACAGAGGGTCAAGGAGAATGTGCTACAGTATGTAGAATTGCATCGATTTTCTGTTTTTTCCTGTCCGGTGTAGAAGCTTTGCCCAATTTGATTTTATGCAAACAAGCTGAACCAGTATTTGTAATTATGATATGCCTATATCAGCAACCTGTGCTGATGGCATCACAGCACTAAATCAAACTTGTATTGCATTAGTAATAAGCAATATGACAACATGATTAATATATCAGTATGTTGATAATCGGACTAATGGAGCTACTGAGTAATATTTTGGACATTTAGGATATGAAGCCGACAACAGAGGTATTTTATTCCTGTTACCTGCATTGAAAGCCCCACAACTAACAGGGAACAGCTGATTAATGAAGTTAAAATGAGGAGTTTCTATACACCTATAGGAGATCGCCAGGAAGCTAAGTTTCTGGTAAGATAAATGACCAAACTACTTGCTGTTAATTGTATTATGCTCTAATAAATGTCCAATTTCCAGTAGGTTAAATATCACTATAAAAAAATGTGGATTTTCTGTTTAAAAAGTCACCTACAAACCGAGGAAGACAGCAAGTACTCGTCCATCTTTAAAGTCAGGCTTGTCCAAAGTCCTGCCTGGGGGCCATTCTTGGCCCGCTTACCAATTTTAAATGACCTGCAGTGTATCTTTCATAAGATATGTGGCACACAACGCAACTGGTTAATCAAGCAAGTTCACTGCATTTTTCCATTCAACTCATAATGGCCAGACTATCTTACACAAATCTGTCAAATTGCACATTTGATTATGTTTCACAGTTTCCACGTTTAGAACAGGAGAACTAAATACATTGCATGCATATACTGACACTGTCAATGTCAGGCACAAAACTTATGAAAAGTTTACATCGAGCAAATTCAATGAAAAAGATGAATATCAAACAATATGTTCTCATGATGATCACCAAAAGCTAAGGAAAAGAGATAGGTTTTTAGCCAGGCTTTGAATATATTTAAAGAGGGTGAGGATCTAACTGTTTCTGGCAGGCTGTTCCACAGTTTCGGACCAACAACTGAAAAAGCTCTGTCACTTCTGCTTTTTAACTTTTTAAGTGGGATAGAAAGCAGTGATTTGTCAGTGAATCTGAGGGGACGAGAGGTGGAATAGGGAGTGAGGAGTTCTGAAATATAATCTGGTGCTGCTCCATGCAGTGCTGGTACCAGTAATGAGTCTTGCTGCTGAATTCTGAACGAGCTGCGAGCGTGACAGAGCTGACTGGTTGATGCAGGTGTAGAGGGAATTACAATAATCTAATTGGGAGGAGATGAAAGCATGAACCAGAATTTCTCAATCTTTTATGGACAGAAATGATTTAAGTTTTGCAATGGATCTTAGATGGAAGAAGCTTGAGCTGACAACTGAGTTGATCTGCCAGAGTCAAAGATGACATCAAGATTCTTTACATGAGATTTTAAATGTGAAGACAGAGGACCAAGAGCACAGGTAGTGCCCTGCACGGGCCTATTATCTGGGCCCGGGCCCAGCCCGAGGGGGTGGAGCCCCAGCCCGGCCCGGCCCGACAGGTTTTCAGAATTCTCATGCCTGAACCCGAAAAAAAAAAATGATTTTTTTTTTTTTAAACCTCCCATAACAACATGTAAGCTGTTAATGTCGCAGACATCAAAATAGTTTAATTGGGGTTTCTAGCATGGTATTAAGCTATATTCATTATATTTCGATTGAAAGGATAAAGTTAAATATGAATTTATTTAACTTAATGACTGTATTCTCCTATTTAATGAGAATTGTCAACTGTTGCTGTGGCTGCTGCGCACTGTTGCAGTTGCATCGCGCACAGTCACTTCAAAAAACAAAATAATCAACCCCAAAAATGCTTCAAACACTTTTCTAAATAATCTTAATACTGAAAGGAAACGAAATATACTCAGATAAGGTCGGAGGCAGAGATGGGACCAAGTCCCACATGTGCAAGTCTCAAGTAAGTCTCAAGTCTTAACCTTCAAGTCTCAAGTAAGTCCCAAGTCATTTTTTCTTGGGCAAGTCAAGTCAAGTCACAGGTTATGTCAAGTCAAGTCAAGTCAAGTCCTGTAATAGGTCAAGTCCAAGTCAAGTCACCTTATTATTGTAATTTTACCTGCAGAATCTGATCTTAATAAAGTGAAAAGTCAAGATATAAGTAACTGTCAGTAAACACTGACTTCATCGCTGCAATGTTTACTTTGCAGGGACGACCCCCATGCGCGCGCGCGCGCACACACACACACACACACACACACACACACACACACACACACACACACACACACACACACACTAACCAAGGCAGCGGCCAAAATCACCCATTTAGCTCATTTAAGCCTGTGTTGCTCGTTCATAAAACATACAGCCGGTCTTGTGATGAACCGGTCGGAATGTTCGCTCACGTTTTCTGGGGTTAATGTTAGCAAATAAATTAAAAAACAAGTTCCACCAAACCGACCCCCATCCCCACCCCACCCCCGTATTGTATCAAGCTAACGTTAGCTAACTACCGACTAACCAGATAATATTAGCTAATTGACAAGCACTTACTGGGCAGAATGGCTCTTCAAATGACGAACAAAGTTTGAAGTTGTCGTCTGGCTGTCCGAGATGTTTATGCCGCATGTCTTGCACTGAGCTGTTTGTCTTTTGCCGTAATAATGGTAATTCTGAAGACGATGACTCTTGGTACCCCTCCCGCTGACATGTTGATGCCCATCTGATGTAAGAGGGCGTGTTTCTCCAATAAACACATAAGGTACGTAGAGAGGGCATGACTGATTGACAGGGCAGTGATCCAATCATGACAACGCAATTTTCAGCTTGCGCTCCTACCAGGTAATCGACATTATTTTTTAAATTAATTTATTCATTTTATATTCTAACCGAAAACATGATGTGAATAACACTCAAGTCATTCAAGTCATCGTGTCTCAAGTCAAGTCAAGTCCCGAGTCTTTAACTTCCAAGTCCGAGTCAAGTCTCAAGTCTTTTATTTTTTGTCAAGTCAAGTCACAAGTCATCAAAACAGCGACTCGAGTCATCTCGAGTCCAAGTCACAATGACTCGAGTCCCCATCTCTGGTCGGAGGTCTATAACTGCACATATATATGTGCAGTTATAGACCTCCGACCTTATCTAAGCACTTTTAATGGCATAAGTGGGTATATTTCGTTTCCTTTAAATATTAAGATTATTTAGAAAAGTGTTTGAAGCATTTTTGGGGTTGATTATTTTGCTTTTTGAAGTGACTGCACTGAACAAACCCGGTTGGCTCACATTGAAGGGTTGTAACAAGTTTAAACTTTGTCCAATACTGAGCTTTTCCCTTGGTGTTGTTCACCGTCTTAAGTTCACCATCTTCAATCTTTTTCTTTATGTTGTCCATGTTTGTGGCTGGACCTGTGGGCTGGACTTTCGAATGGTATCAGTAAAATTTGATGAGTGATGTGCAGCGGAGAGGGAGAGGCACAGCGGCTGCTGCGTTCAAGTGTTGCCGTTTAAATTGGTTAAACACAAACACACACCTCTCTAATTGGCAGGTTAAAAAAAAAGCCAGAGCCCGGCCCGTGTCCGAGGTAATGAGGTTGTAATTGGCCCGAAGCCCGGCCATGACAAATTCTTAATTATTTCCCCCTCTTGTTAATTTGGCAGATGTAACGCATTAAATAGATCCTTTCTTTCAGTGTGCTGCAGTATCAGTGTGTAGGCCAACATTAATGCTCATAAAACTTGCTTTGGTTGTTCTCACTATCTGTAGTGTCTGACTACCAAACCAATTAACTCTAAATCAGTCTGACTATCAAACATGAGACTAAGTTAGTTTCACGTCATGTAGGGCAGCAACGGTATGAGATTTTTATGGTACAATAACGGTTTCAGAAAATATCAAGATTTCACGGTATTAAAGAATTACAGTCAGGTCCATAATTATTTGGACAATGATACAGTTGTCATCATTTTGGCTCTGTACACCACCACAATGGGTTTTAAATGGAACAATGAATACCTGCTTAAAGTGCAGACTCTCAGCTTTCATTTAAGGCTTTTTTCAAAAATGTAGTATGAACCGTGTAGGAATTACAACCATTTCTTCACACAGTCCCCCGACTTTAAGGGCTCATAGGTATTTGGACAAACTAACATAATCATCAATTAAACAGTCAGTTTTAATACTTGGTTGCAAATCCTTTACAGTCAATGACTGCCTGAAGTGTTGGACACATAGGCATCATCAGATGCTGGGTTTCTTCCCTGGTGATGCTCTGCCAGCCCTTTACTGCAGCCGTCTGCACTTCCTGCTTGTGTTTTGGGTGTTTTGCCCTCAGTTTTGGCTTCAGCAAGAGAAACGCATG